GACAGCCAAAGAGATGATCAAATCTAACCCATAAGTCATCACGATTCCACGGTTTCTCCGAGAGCCAGAATAATTTTGTTTTTACACACGTTTTAATTTTATTTTTTTTATTATATAAAGCAATTTCATTCATCTTTGAAAATTGTTTTACTTATATTTACTTTTATATTCATTTGTTATTAAACGAAGTATTTACTTTAACTTTGTAGTGTGGCAAATAATAGCAATTATTCAAACCCGTAACAATGATGATGACATATTTAACATGCAGACATACAGAGACGGTTTAATTTTTTTATTCCGCAAAAATATATATATATATATATATATATATATATATATATATATATATATATATGTATTTAAAAAAAGAAAGATCAGTAAGATATATAATCCGGTGTTCTAATAGATATTTTTATTTTTACAAAATAGTGCTCAATGTAAATTTACAGAGCATTAATATTATAAATTAATTGATTTAAAATATGTTTTTCCACTACATAGTTCTAACTATGTTTCAAAAATGGAAGCTAAAAAGCCACAAATTTAATTTTGCAATTAAATTAAAGACATTAGTTCCATTTCATCCTCAAGCGAAAGATATATATATATATATATATATATATATATATATATATATATATATAAAATAAAACAAACAAATGTAACACAAGTATAGACATAATAATTCAAAATAACATGAAAAATAATCATCAGCATCATATTATAATTGTGATTCCTCCGTTAGTTAGCACGACCGTTACGCCTTGCCAATACTTCATAAATAATAAATTTTGATCGCGTGGGAAGATGGAAAAGACATATCAGCAAGGCTACTTGGTTTCAGTGAGAAAAAGAAAGAAAAAAAAAGGAAAGATAGAAGTGTTCAACGTCTCCTGCTAAAATCGCATAAATTATGGACTATTCTGTTTTGATCGCGTGGAAAGACAAAATATATATCAGAGAAGCTACTTGGTTTCATTAAGACAATGTAAGATAAAGAAAGAAAGAAAGAAAGAAAGAAAGAAAGAAAGAAAGAAAGAAAGAAGAAGGGAATATAAAAGTCTTTAACGTCTGTATCAGTGAAATGGGAAAAAAAGTCATCAATTTCAAATCTTTTCGATTGTACCCCCTTACTTCTTAAAATATCGATTAGTATTCATATTTAGGATTGTTATTGTAATATCTTGTTAAAGTTATATTAATCTCAAATATTTAACGCTGCGACAGAGGAATTTCTAGATATTTTTTATTGTCGCAGAACTCGTCAAATAGGAAAACCGTCAAATTTCCACAGGTTAAAACTAGTAAATAATAATAATAATATTAATAATGCAAGAAGTTATAAAACATGAATATAGAACAAATTCCTGTAGTAATGAGAGCACTTGGAACACAACCTACCAAACTGAATAAAACGCTTCGGGGAGAAATAAAATTGTGTTTATAGAGCTTCATAAACTACCATAAGTTAGTCTGAGGGGGTTCTTGATTGGTGAAGAGTTTTATTAATACCATGGCTCAAGAAGAGCTTTTTCATCGATTATGCCAATATGCGACACGAATAATAATAATAATAATAATAATAATAATAATAATAATAATAATAATAATAATAAAGACCAGATATTAAAGTGGGCTCTATCCATCAAACATATACATCACACCCTCATGGTAACCGCATGTCCAAAGAAAAGAAAAGAAAAGAAAAGAAAAGAAAAGAAAAGAAAGACAGAAGAGACGTATTGAAATAAAACGAAAAGCTATCAGAAAAGAAAGAAAGAAAGAAGAGACAAAAGAAAGAAAGAAAAAGTAAAGAAAGAAAGAAAGGAGGAAAGAAAGAAAGAAAGAAAGAAAGAAAGAAAGATAGAATGAAAGAAAGAAAGAAGTTTAAAGAAACGTATTGAAATGAAAGGAAAAACTCGCAGAAAATAAATAAAGAAAGAAAGAAGCAAACAAAGAAAGAAAGAAAGAAAGAAAGAAAGAAAGAAAGAAAGAAAGAAAGAAAGAGCCGAAAGAAAGATACCTATTGAAACGAAAAGCTAGCAGAAAAGAAAGAAAGAAAGAAAGAAAGAAAGAAAGAAAGAAAAAATCCTGGACAAATGAATAAATAAATCTATGAAAGTAAAGAAATTTGAGAAAGACTTAAGTATGTCGGAAGGTGGTTTATTCCGAATCAAGGAACAACGCTACAGTTGTGGTCGTAGTAGTCATCTACTTTGGGCGGGAAACAGAGAAACAAGAAGTGAGATATTGGCGCGCTTTTATCTGTAAGAAATGATGATGTTGCGAAGGAATAAAGGGAGGAGTTTTGCGAGGGTTGGTGGGAGGAGATAGCGATATGCGTCACTGGGACGCGAACGAGCCGGCCACGGTCAGACGTGCGGAGTTTATGTGTATTATTGTTGATGATAGCATTACAAAAAGACGTGTCCGTGTCGATGACTTGCGCTGTGTTGCTCCTGCAAGAACAAACGCGCCTGTGCGTGTGTGTACGCATGTAGCGACCTCCTGTCTAAGCGTGTGTCCATATCCTGCGTAAGCAAAGTTTTATTACATTTTAATTTAGTGGGTGTAGCCATACACAAGGTCAGGAAGTGCGTTTTCGTGTGTTTATCTTAAACACTATGTGCGTATCGTAGATATTTGTGCTTAGATAGGCTGAAAATTGAAAAAAAAAAGAAAAGAAAAATACCAACAACAACAACAACAACAAAAAAAACGAAAAAGAAAAAAAAAACAGACGACGATGAAATCAATCAGATGTCACGTGACAGACAGAATCTGATCGAAAGAATGGGCGACAGAAAGGTAGAAAGAGATGAGTAGCGGGGAAAGAGAAGGAGAGAGAGAGAGAGAGAGAGAGGGCCAAAAGAAGGAGTGCGATTCTGGAAAGAAAGAAAGAAAGAAAGAAAGAAAGAAAGAAAGAAAGAAAGAAGTTTAAAGAAAAAAAGGAAAAAAAGAAAGAAAATAAGATGTTACGTATCGCTCGAGCGGAACCAAAATCAAATTGCTTTCACAAGAGGAAGAAAACGCCTTGGACCACGCGAACATATCAGAAATGATAATGTATCATGAATATCTATCAATCTCAGTCTTTTCATATCATTCATCTATCTATCTATCTATCTATCTATCTATCTATCTATCTATCTATCTATCTAGTCTGTCATCAGTCATTCTCATCATCATTTATCTATCTATCTATCTATCTATCTATCTATCTATCTATCTATCTATCTATCTATCTATCTCAGTCTGTTCATCAGTCATTTCATTATCTATCTATCTATCTATCTATCTATCTATCTATCTATCTATCTATCTATCTATCTATCTCAGTCTGTTCATCAGTCATTTCATTATGTATGTATGTATGTATTCATCTATCTATCTATCTATCTATCTATCTATCTATCTATCTATCTATCTCAGTCTGTTCATATCTATCTATATCAGTGTTTTCATTATTATCTATCTATCTATCTATCTATCTATCTCAGTCTGTATACATCTATCTATATCAGTCTTTCATATTCATCTATCTATCTATCATCTATCTATCTACGTGCATATCTATTGAAGTTTGTGCATATCTGTCTAAGTCTGTGCATCTCTCTCTTATATATATATATATATATATATATATATATATATCAGTTTTTCCAAATTTCTAAAGTTTGTTTCAAATTTTTGTTCAAATTTCTTCTCTCTCTTATTCTCTCTTTTTCTCTCTATCTTCATTTTATCTCTGTATCTATCTATCTATCTATCTATCTATATATATATATATATGTGTGTTTATTTTATCTATTCCAACTCTTTGTTCAGCTTTATATTATTTTCATTAAATAATAAATATTTTTACTTCTTGTAATCTAGCTAATCAATGTCACACAGATTTTTACAATTTTTTCTTCCTATTTCGCCTGCGAGAGAAGATCTTACACTCATCTACCGAAACCCAATGTCATCACTTACAATAAATATACAAGCAGCTTAAAAAAAATCCATTTCATCATTTGTATTATAATGATGTCCTCCATGTGTTTTTAAGTCATAATTGTGTTAAGATATATCATAAAAATTGTGTTGTTACGATCGAGATTATTACTTTACTATTCCCTTGAAATACGTAAGTGACGTAATTGCTTATTCACGGAATATCGTGGATACGTTCCGTCTTACACGGAAAATCGAGTATGACGTATCGTAAGAACGGAGCTCTGTCGTAAGACCCCCCCCCGTACGTATATAAATTATAGATTTCAGACATTCTATATTTGGGGTAAAATGTTCATATCCGGGATAGAGCTTGTGTAAATACAAGGGTGGACACTGAGCTCAACAACGGGTGGCGACGGTCTGTTTCATGATGTGATGTAAGCACGAAACAAACAGACTATCGCCACTCGATGTTGACCACGGTGTACTCTTTTTCTCATATGTGTGTGTGTGTGTGTGTGTGTATGTGTGTGTGTCTGACCATTCGTCCATTGCGAGATATCTACAACAACATTCCTGTCCGTATTCACAATGTATAAAATTATTGATCGACAACACAACTATCCTACAACAAGAAAATAATAAATTCAAGCTACAGATCGTAGAAGTAATTTATATTAAAAAAAATTACAGCCGGCACTGAAGAGTATTAACGATGAATACTGCAGTAATGATCTGAAATGCCTATAAAGGAACAGCTGGTTTTCACGTTTTAATGCGCGCATGACCGTGACATTAAACATATAGGGAAAAAAATCCATAATGGATAGTTTTTCTCATGTTCTATGATCAATCAGCACATTGTCAACCGTTTGCATTTAAAAGCATAATAAAAAATTACGGTAATGTATACCAACCCACAGCTTTGTATAAATACTTGTACCCATGAACAACATATAATTTTGTACTACTTGCACCCCTGAAGATGATCTTGGAAGAAGGCCGGAAGTATTTGGGAAATGAAAATGAAAAAAATTTAAACAGTTATAGCATATGTCTCACATCATTTAATATCAATAAAAGGAAAGTTATTCGTGAGCATGAACAGATTGTGTCAAAAATTAGCAGACATAATGTCAGTAATTTATTCAATCGGACTTGGCTAAAAGAGAATTTGCTGCCTAAATATATATATATATATATATATATATATATATATATATATATAAAAAAAGAAATGAATGAGAAAAAGTATGTATATTAAAAAGAAGAGAAGAGAGGTGCCGCTAACGTTTTTTAGTTGTAATGTGGATTTATTTAGAAAAATATTATGCTTTGTTTTACATAATTATATATATATATATATATATATATATATATATATATATATATATATGAAAGACAGTAGATAACGATTGATATCGCATTTAATTTTTTGAGATCAAACCATGGAGCTGGAAGGAGTTCCACATGTGAGAAGTGGACAAAAGAAACTGTTAGCATAGAACTTACGGTTACATCTGGGCAATTCAATTGTAAATTGATAAGACCTTGCTGCCACTCTAGTACTGCGTTTAAATGTATATAGTCTAAGTACCGTAGCGAAGAGCTTATCCAAGCAACATAAAAGTATTTATAGAAAAGGCACAGGAAAGCAACTTTACAGCAATGGGCATGTTTCAATAAACTGAAGGCTTTTGAAGACGGTAGACTGAAGCACCATGATCAGCATCGTCAAGCTCTGAAGCAGAGACGCCATCAAAATCCTGCTTTAACAAATTTCATCTGTCAGTTTGGCATTGTCAACCACAGCAAGGTAGGTCTACTTTCGCACTTAACAAAGCAGAAATGAAATATGTCTTTCCGTTACCTGTTTTTCTCCACAATAGCCCCCACTAGCATGTATAAGTGTGAAACAAAGGGCACCAGTCACTGCTGATCCACATTTATCGTTCACGATAGGAGATTCCACCACCCATATATATATATATATATATATATATATATATATATATATATATATATATATATATATATATCAAGAAATATAGTCTTAAGATGTGCTATATTTATGGGATAAAGTGCTCAATATTAGAGATAGAGGCGTGTGTAAATATAAAAGTGAACATAGAAGTCAACACTTAGAGGCGACAGTCTGTTTTGTGCTATATGCAATCGTCAGGCCACGATTCCCTGGCTATTGCGTCTAGCATGAAACAGCTTGTTCAATTTTATAATTTATATATATATATATATATATATATATATATATATACACATATATTTTAAAGACATTTTTTATGTTTATACGTTTTTTTTATACAAATATTTAAGTAAATGCTCTGTTTATAATAAAATTTATTAACGACATTTACCGGCCTGAATGTCCGAGAAATTTTCAGAGAAAATATTCGTCCTCCGACAGGAATCGAACCTGTATCGTATACGGAACCGTCATATAGCACGACGTGCTTTACCGATTTAGCCACAGAAGAGCGTTACGGTTAGGGAGGTCGATTTTACTGTTTTTAAACTACAATTCTCCATGATATTCTTTCGTACATTCATATCTGCTCAATGCGTATCCAAATGTAAACAAATGATGACACACATTATGAAATAGACAAAGTCCGACAATTATTTTAAAACATTTTTTGTTTTATACATTCTTTATACATAAAATATTTAAGTAAATGACTGTTTATAATAAACAATATTATGACATTTACTGAAAAAGCCGAGAAATTTTCATAGAAAATATGCGTCCTCCGACAGGCTATATGACGGTTCCGTATAGGATACAGGTTCGATTCCTGTCGGAGGACGAATATTTTCGTGAAAATTTCTCGACATTCAGGCCGGTAAATGTTGTTTAATACTGTTTATTATAAAGAGAGCATTTACTTAAATATTTGTATCTATAAAAAGAATGTATAAACATAAAAAATGATTTAAAAAATAATTGTCGGACTTTGTCCATTTCATAATGTGTGACACACACACACAAATATGTGTGTGTGTATGTATGTATGTATGTATGCTGGTCTGGACTATATATATATATATATATATATATATATATATGTGTGTGTGTGTGTGTGTGATAAAAATATAGGTTTAATTACTTGATTCCTTTTTACGGCTCATTCACTCTTTACAGGCCATTTATAACCAGAAAATATTTTTTAGATTCATAACTTAGAAGAAATTTCATACTTTTCCCGCGGTTTAATAGCACATAAGTGAACTTGGCATTCGCGTTCGTTTTGGGGAATCAATTTTAACTCACTTCAAGTGACTCATAGAAAAAGTGAAATTGTGTTTGTGTGAGTTTAAAAATCTTTAAATATACGGTCCCCTATCAAGAAAGACAGCTTATTCAATGTTAATTGTTTCTCTTTTATTATATATATATATATATATATATATATATGTATGTATATGGGAGGCACGTGGGGAGGCATGGTGTAGTAATGAATAGCGGCTCGGACTGAGGAATCGGAGAGCCAAGTTCACTTATGTGCAAATACCCCCGGCAAAGGTATGAATCCTCTT